TCAGGGTTGAAGTCGTAATTGGAAGTGTTTTCGCCGCTCGGATTTTGTCATTACTTAGTGTCAGGGGCTTCTGGTTTAGGATTAAGACTGTATTATAAAAGTAATGAAAGTATTATACCTATAAATTTTGCTTTCTGGAGCGGTTGCCTGTAGTATCGTGAATGCGCAATGGTTCTATAATTCAAAATTTTTTGAAAATGTGCTGAACCAATGTAAAAAGCACCCAAACTTTGCAGATTTCATAACTTTTGAAAAATTTAATTATTTATCAGCTTTTTATGTTTCTGTTCTTTTTAACGTCTCCCGCTCATTTTTCACCGAGCACTGTTTGCAATTTTCATCGGCATTTTTAGTAATTACAATGAAACTGATGCGGTTTTTCTGTTGCGTCAAACTATCCTATTACCAAATTAAGTTTCTAACTGTTGAACGACTTCAGAGTGAAATAAAACAAAGCGAAAATTTTGCGACATAAAAACAAATTTTTCTACTCGGTTAACTTCGTTTCGTTTTAAATTTGGATTTACTGTGGTTTTTGCGCTCAAATTTATCTATCGGGCAGTTAATGTTTTTCAGAAAACGTTATGTCTGATTTTTCTGAGGCACTTGAACAGGAACTCAAGAATTATGGAAGAAGCCTTGCGGATGGAGCAAGTAAAGGTAATGAGATTTTACAAAAGCGACAGCGTTCTAATTTTTTTTGTTAAGGGGCTGCGATTGGTGGAGCAATATGTCCCGGGGCTGGAACACTAATTGGTGGATGGGCTGGTGCAGCAACTGCAGCTGTTTCTTGCCTAGTAAAAGCACTTAACGATGATGACGATGAGAAAAAATAGGTGCTCCCGCTTACAGTTCTATCACAGTACCGACTATTTTTCTGCTACAGTACTCGCAAAAATTTTATAGTTCTCTAATTTTGCATAGCTTGACAATAAAGCTTTTAACTCAAGGAACCACTGCTGTTCGAAGCTTCAATTCCTTTCCACAGGCAGAAGCGCAAGAAAAAGTTTTTAAAAGATATAGTTTTTGAGAAAAAGTTATAGCTTCTACTCCTTTGCGTTTTTTTACATAGCAGCTGCATCGCCAGAGTAATTCTCAAGAAAGTTCTAATGAATTTTTAACGGCTGGCGAAAGCTGTTTAATAGCTCAATAGAAATTTCACTAATTTCACAACTTAATAATTTACAAAACTGTGAATTTGTAAACACTTCTTGTACGCTGTCTCTAGTGCCACCACGAATTCATATAAACGCAAAAGATTAGCTATAACTTTATCAACATACCGTGGTTGTATTACATTACAGTATACAAAAATATTTCGTAACCCACCACAAATATTAGCAAAATTATTTGTCTTATTAAACACAATATATATTTATTATTAAATTTTAATGCACATTTCATTTGTTTTAACATCTCAATATTATTGGTTCTATCCGGCATATCAACCATAATTCCTTGTCTAAATCTGTCAGACACAGAATTGATGTTACATTCTGTACACCGATCGTTAAGCGAAAACATAAGTTCCTCAATGGAATTATATCGACTAGCGGTAATTACTAAACCTTCTTTATCGTTGGTTGTTCTAAACTGATCAGCAATGATATCACAATGATATCTAAACTATATGGGCAAAAAACGCTTAGCATTGCAAATTTCCAAATTTCTGCTTTTGAAACATAAAATTTTTTAGTCAAAATTACTGTAAATTTGTTAGTAGTATTCGCAAATATTGCAGTGTTGCCAAGCAGTTTCATATAAAAAGAACTCATTTTACATTACCGATCCAACCCTTAAATTTTTCCAAATATACCAGCCACTTTACATATCATTTAGTTGTTCCGCGCCTTTTACGCAATATTGATATTTTTTCTATTAAACATTCTCGTAAAAGTAAAGCTTTAGAAAAACTTTGTTTGTAAAATTTACTTAAAATTGCTTCTACGAGCAAATCTTCAACTTAAAAGTAAAATAAAACCAACAATAAGCTGAGAGTTTCTGACATATACTTTACCAATAATTAGTTTTTTTTTATACGAAATATGTACGAGTTAATTTAAATGGATCTTTTCTAGAAGTTTCAAGTTTTTGAATTTTAACTATCTTCTTTGAGACCCTGCAATTGTGTAGCAGTGCTCTTGAAGCATAACTGTGATTTATCTGAGTAACTAACGAAATATTCTACTATTAGCCTATTATATTCAGCGGTGATTTTCAGGCAGTAATTCATTACAAAAGTACTTCAAAATGCCCTACCGTTTGAGCGTCAGAGTCCGCACTCGCTAGTTTTTTGGGATGTGATTTTTGCGTTTAATTGAAACCAATTTTCTTTGAATTTTCTGGTGTTTGTCAACTATAATTCGAAGTTCATTCCACGGTTATACAATTTGTATAAATCGTTAGAAAGATTGATTCAAAAAAATGTTTCTCTTTCGAAGCTCCTCTTCCCCACAGGCTGCGACTAGGGTGATGTCGCTGTCGTCGCAAGTTGAAGCAGTCGCGGAGATATGTCGAACATGTCGACCTGAATTAGAAATTGAAAAATCTGACGTTGTAAAGATGTCAACAGCAACTGCTGGTTTACAAAAGAAATTCCGAGACATTATGAACAAATTTGAGCTTTTATAGAAACATGAGGGAAGACAAGTTGCTGAGAAGTGCGGAACAGCAGTTTAGGATGATGAAAACGGCGAATTCACGTTAGTAATGCAAAAAAATTTTAATTACCCAAGTTTGAGATAGGCTGTGCAGTGGTGGCAATATTGAGACACCATAGACGCGTTTCACCTTTTGTAGCAACATGAGGGAGAAAAACCCGAGAATAGTGTCACAGTATGCATTTAAATAGGAGTTTGCGCACATATATAAAAAAAGTGGTGTGATGAGAGCAATGTTTGCTGTGGAACGTGGAGCAACAACTGAGAGCTGAATCCGATTAAGAAGAGAGAAGTTTCTTTTGCGTATAGCTGAGCAATTATACTGACGTTACATTTATTCTTCCTTTCCGATTTTGTCAGGTTCGAAATCTTGAGAGGAAAGCTGCATTTGCGCCTTTCATAAGTAAAAGCTTTCCAGAAATTGGGCTATCATAAAGCAGACCGACCAGAAGCCAATGAATAAAGCGCAGAATTTCAAACTACCCTTGCGGCGCTAGATGGCGTCCTGCTATTTGCAACCAAAAGTAGTACAAAGTATTTCCTCCACATATCTTTTCCCATACGAATTCGTCTATATGCAATTTCAAAAGTGCCGTTTTTGCTCCCTACAGTGATCTATGCTCGTCTTTGATTTTTTGCCATAGAGATTTAGTAGAGATCATGCAAGCACCAGTCTAAAACTTAATGAAGTGCAAACTGTAGTTAGCAGTCAGATGCCGATACCCCTTTGGCATATATTTGATGGTACTACATGCCCCTACTGATCAGACACTATAGCTGTCCTTGAAACAAAATACTGCTTGATCAGTAGCAGAAGGGTAGCAGCATTTCGCCGTTTCACTGAAACTGCACGTCATTTATTGGTCCCTTCCCCTAGTGCTTCCAAAACACCACTGATTTTCTGTGACCCTATCCCTGCTGTGTTTTCTTCCGATAAGGAACGTTTTGCCAAACTCCATTACCACACCAGGACCCCTCTTCTTTCAAAAATGTCTCCGGGAATATCTTGTGGAAAAATCGATGAAAAAGTCTACGTAATCAATTAAAATGTGCGAATATAAAAATATCTATATAAG